GAATACAGAAACCTATACATATACGTATACATATACATGTACATATACAATTATATATATAGATGTACATACACACATACATATACATGCCCATATACATATACATATACGTTTACTTTCACATACACATATAGGTATACATATACATATACGTATACATATACATATATACAAATACGCATACAAATACATGTACTTATACATATACAAATACATGTACAAATACATATACATATACATATGCAAATACATATAGATATACATATACATATACATATACATATACATAGCTTGCGCCTTGCTCGCATCCAGGCCGGCGCGGTCCTGGTTGCAACTGCCCTGCTGCATCGCACGCCCCAGAGGTGGGCGCGGCCCTGGCTACAGGCTTCCAGTGCTTTCCCCCACGCGTCGGGGCCCACGCCCCCCGCGCACTGGCCAGAAGGAGCGCTGGTGGGTTGGCCACTCTTGCGCGCCAGCTGGCATGGCGCCAGCATGCCTGGCCCCGCAGCGGGTTTTCGGTCTGTGCCCCGGCGGCCAGCCTCGTGGGCCGTCGGGGGCGTTCCCGTTTGCTCCGCCGCGCCCCGGAATCTTCTTGCAGCGCAAACCGCGCTTGCCGCCCATGGCAGGCGTGGCCCTGCCTTGACCGTCTTTGGTCGTGCACTCGCTGGCGCCGTTTCGGCCGTCGCTCTCCTCCCCTGGCAGGAGTATCCCAGTGCCCTGCGGCAGCACCTCGGCGGCTCTCCGCGGTGGCAGCCCATGGCACCGCGGGCCACCTCTCCGGAGCGCATTTGAGCGGCACCCCCGTCGGGCCCCGCCGGGCAGCGGTCTCTAACGGCATCCCCCACGGGCCCCGCTGGGGCCGCTGCGCAGCCGCCGAAAAGAGCCTGCCCCCGCAGCAGCTGCGCCCTACCGCTGCACACTGCTGCCCTGCCCTGCTACGACGGCGGCGCCGCGCCGCCGCTGGCAGCCCCGCTGCCACATGCCAGCCCTCTGGCTCCGAGCACCCGTGGGGCCGCACGCCTCCGGGGTTGATGGGGTCCGCGCCCCTCCCCCCCGCTCCTCTCTGATCCGTCATTCTCTACACCCCTCTCCCTCTCCTGCCCCTGTCCTTTCTTCAGCGTAGTTCCTCCCTCTACCAAGGGGAAATCTCCAGTGGCCCCGGGCTTGAGGGCCCGCGCGACGGGACCCGCCGAGCCCTGCACCGTTCTGTACTCCTCGGCCTCCAGCCATCATGGCGCCATCCTTTGTTCCACTGGCTGCCCTCGTCCAGCCGGGAAGGCTGAGCGGCGCCCTGTGCTCTGGCACCGCGAGGGGGCGCCTTTCCATATCTCCAGCGCCTCGGCCTGCGGGGCTGGCCTCCCTTCGGCAAGGCGGCGTTTCCCAAAGTGCGCGCCGGGGGTGCAGCTTCGCGGGGCGAGCTACTCGGGCGCGCTCTGCTGCGCGGCGTCCGCGGGGCCCCCGCCACGCTGAACTGTCAGAGTTGGTACCGCCTCTCTGACCTGCCTCACCCTGGGCGGCGCCCCCTGCTCTCCCCTGCCGCCCCGCTCCATCCAACAGCTCCGCAAGCAGGGAGCGCGTGCACCCCAATCGCTCGAACGTAGACCGTTCCGATCGCGCCGCATCTTGATGCAGCGTTGAGCGCGATGCGCTCTTGCGCTGCACCCCCGGAAGAGGAGCATCCTCTGCCAGGATCGCGAAGCGCGAAGCGGGAACAAGGGGGAGCAGGAAAGGAGGTGAAGAGGGGAGAGCGCACCACTTCGGACGGTGTCATTGTCCGGGCCCCCGAGCCG